TGAATTTTTTGTGGTGTTTTTTGTAAGATGACAATGGTCGATAACAATGGACGTTGATTTTGTAAATGATATTTTTTTATTAGAATGGAATGGTAACAATGGCCGTTGATTTTGTAAATGATATTTTGTTATTAGAATGGAATGGTAACAACGGTCGATAACATTCAATCCATGCCACAGAACACATCAACATCAAAAACACATCCATTAATTTCTTCCATAATTCTAACATTGTCAAATGCATACATGTGTCATGCGACATCAACAACATCAAATGTCTCTCGAGTAGCTACAGTATCATGAATAATGTCCTTGAAATGCTGAATGCGGCGTACATATGCATCATCCCAGTCGACAGTGCAAGGGTGCCGGTATTTTCGCCAATTAGTGGCTATAGGAGGAACTGGATGGCCTGGTTGCAAAAAAACCTACACCAAATGTCAATTGAGTTAGTGGTCATACCTCATAACTGCTTGTACATGCAGAAATTGATAAGTTTCTGTTATACCTGGATGAAATGATTTCCGTTGACAAACCCAATGACAATCTCACGTCTATCAAGTTGAGGTACTGGCACTGTTCTAAAAGGTAAAAGGGTGAGACACTGCTGTAATGACAAGTGGTATAACATAAGATTGTAGCACAATGCAACAAGATGCCCCATGTCTGGCATAGTCATCCAATGTGAGTATGCAGGACTGTTTTCAAAGTATGACAATATGCTTGTCAATTCTTCAAACCTTTCGTAGGACCCATAAAGTGTAATGTATTCCTCTTTGTGTGTGTGTAGCTCACCCAAAAGATCACGCCTAACCTGAGCCCAATCATCTTCTGTATGACCAATTGAAGCAGCTATAGCCCTAAAACCACAATTCCCATCTGCACTACATCCTTGACAAACTTAATGTATGGTTTCAACCCAGAAGGGAAAGCATCAACATATGCACCAAGTTTCACTGTTCTAGTAATGTATACCTTCCCTTTCGCATTCACCTTCTCCTTTCCCTTAACAAGTCGCTTCTTCTTGGTTTCCATAGTTGAAGCTGATGTAGTGATTTGAGTGTCCCTAGGTGAGAAGGAATCATGTCCAGATTGCACCAACTCAAATGCACACAGGTCACGATGGGTAAAAACATTGATCTTCTTATGATCTCGAGGACGTGTTTTGGGCTTCACCTGGGGCTCAACAAGAAAAGTGTTTCCCGGAAATACAATCTCTTTAAACTTCTTCAAAAGCTCTAACCGCATGGTTCTATCACTTTCATTGAACTTTTTCACAAACAATTCTACTTCTACATGACAAGTCACCTCTGTTTCCTCTTCTTTGTTGCATATGGAGATATGAAGTTGCCTCCACTGTAAGTGTATGGTAGCAAGTGGTATTGGACGATCTCGTCTGATGTAGTCAGCAATCTCATGGGCACAAGGTAAACCATGAGTGTGGCGAAGGACGCACTCACAAGCTTCAGCATCAATACTAATGGAATTGGCTCTCTTACTCTCTACAAGCAAATACTCTAATGCAGAGATAGACACATTACCCCGTAGCTCCTTGAACTAAGAAGGTTTAAATTGATGTTGCACAACAGTTAGACTTTTCTCAAATGAAGTCTTGATATCAGTGTGTTGCAACTCAAGCAGACTGTGTATTTTCTTAAATGATGCCTGAAATGAGACTTGACATGAACCCAATTGTCTTTTAAGTTTTGCATGTGCACTCTCAGCCCTGTTTAATTCAATGTAAGTGAAATTAAAATCAAGTACATGGCACTTATTAATAATATATTGAACAAAAGTAATTTTACCGGTTGGTCGTAACATTGCCACAATGCATACACGTGTCTGTCCATGCCGCCACAAATTTCTCCTTGTAAGGAACCAACCAAGTATCCATGACGTAGTTGACTGCATCCGGATAACTACTGAATTCCTTAAGTAATGATTTAAGACGCTCATCGTATTGAATTTCAGAAGATGAATACACTAAAGAGTTTCACTCATGGTTGAACTTCTCCCATTTCTGCTGTGTCTCAAACATTTTTTTGCATTTGGTCAATACATTCTTACTGATATGCTAACGACATAATAAATGTCTGCTAGTCGGGAATATCTTCTGTATGGCATTCATCAAGGCTAGCTCTCTGTCAGTAACAATAATTGATGGCAAAACAAAACCATCAATGACATCACGCAATGTAGCTAACACCCACGCATAGTTATCGGCCCTCTCATACTGTAAGTATGCGAAAGCTACAGAGAAAGTCATTTCAGTTGATGTCACTCCCACAATTTCAAGAAGAGAAAGACAATATCTATTGGTTTTATATGTGAAATCCATAATTAATATACGTGGGAAAGACCGAAATAAGTCCAAACTAGTAGGATGTGCCCAAAACAAGTTTGTCACAGTCATCGTGGACTCTTCACATCAATGGCGCTCAATGTAATTATACTTGGCCAATTCACCCAATAAGTGTTGCATTTGTGATCTTCCAGCTCTCTGTACCACCCTGTTTCGATGGCGTACATTGTAAATGGTTTTAAGTGTGCTTACATTGAGGGCATCTCGCTATTTCAAGGTTACTAGGATTTCTTTTGGCCGAATCATGCTCTTTGACATATCCATTAACAATGCTTTCTCATCCTTTGACAGCCTCCCCGCATATGAATGTCCCTCAAGGTGCTCTGCAGGTGGATGGATATGTAATCTGCATACTACGGTCAATGTCCATTCATCATGTGTGGTAAACCTGTGAGCCCTCATATCAAAAGGACAACCACACTTCTTCGTACCGGTTATTCTTAATGTATTGTTGCCATCATGTTTTAACTTCTTTGTCGCTCTATATTGGCCACTCCTCTCACGAGCAAGATACATCTTGGGTCTTTTTTTCCCTTCACCATAGTCTGATGTTTTGATTACAATGACCAAACCATTTATCTTTCCAACTTCACGTACCCAGTTGAGCAATTTATCCTTACTTTTGAATACCTACAGAGTCAAATAAATATTATTAAACATTTACATTTGTTGAGCAATTCGAAACATAATCATTATAATTTCATAGAGTGAACCTGTTTAGTTGTGAATTGAGTAGTGTAATCCAACACACTATCTGCGTAAACCTGACTTCCTTGAGTTGACACATATTCCTACATGTTTTGTATAACATTACAAATTTTTAATGGCATTATAAAGATTAATTTGCAATTTGAAATTGTAAATTTGGTATGCAGTTTACAAATTTGGAATATAAAACGGGGGAATTTTTTTTTTACTTGATTTAGAAGTACAGTGTTGAACAAAATGCTAATTTTCGGAAATAGTTGTCTGAATTAATTTTAAAATTTCGAAAGTTGAATGTTGTAAAATTTAACTTATTTCGGACAACAACTTCCGAAATTAAATATTTATTTCGGAAGTAGATTTCCAAACATAATGATATAATTCGGCTCTGGTTATCCGAACGATGTTGAAAAAAAAAACAAGACTTTTACATTGCAAAACTCACATTTCCTTGGCTATCTTTCTCATAAACATTTATTTGCTTCTGAAAATCTGAATTTTCAGAAGAGAAATCCTCCATAACAATGATGAATGATGATGGGGTTAGTGTGTAAACTAATGGAAATGGAAAGCTACGAATGGACTTGGAGCTTCAATAGCTTCAATGGACTTGGAGCTTCAACAGCTTCAATAGAAGAAGTACCAGCTACGAACTTGGAGCTAAACAGCTTGAACAGCAGATGAATGAACTTGGAGCTAAACAGCTTGAACAACAGATGGATGTAAAGTCTGGATGTGTATTGAGATGTTTGTTTATTTGAAATGGTATGATGTCTAAAATAGTAATTTCACTTAGGGATAAAATTGTAATAAAAATAAATATCATTAAGTGTATGCATAGAGTGTATTTGGTGTGTGTAAATAGATGCTCCCTCGTGCTTCTCGCTTTATTTTCACTTTGTTTGGTGTAAGTTTTGGGTTGGATGGACTCATGTAAATGCCGTTTGGCTTCTTAAATGAAATATTTCTTCTGATTAAAAAAAAAAAAAAAAAGGAATACAGAAGGTCAGAGTAATTTAACCAAATTTAAAAGGATGGGATGTCATTTTCAGACCAACAAAAACAAAGGAAGTTGCGTGTGAGTCCTAATAGGTAGACTTGTCCAATAAATCCTATGATAATTAATGGTTTTTTTTTTTTTTTATCAAATGCTATTAAAAAATGTTACTGATTGTTAATTTTCAGCAACAATTTAAAAATTTTATCACAAAAAAGTCACTAATTATAATTTTTAATAACAGTTTAAAAAAATTGTCACAAAAAATCACTCAGCTCGTTTGGTTCCAATTTTTAGAAAACAGTTTTCAGAAAATTTTACTTTTTCATTTTTCGTATTTTAATGTTTTCAATGATTTTTTTTAATATTTTAAGAAATTTTTTTAATTTTTAAACATACCTAACATAAATATACCTAAAAAATAAAAAAAATTATGAAAAAAACCTTTTAAAAATTCACTAAATACCAAAAATACGAAAATTCAATACATTTTTTTGTATTTTTAATAATATTTTTTCACAATTTTTGTACTTCTTAGATACATCTAAGCAAGGTGCATCTAAAAAAATAAAAAAATATTTAAAATTTTAAAAATATTCACTAAAAACAAAAAAATAAGAAAACCAAAAAACTCAATTTTCAAAAAACTGAATTCAGAAAATTGAAACCAAACACACTGACTAATTTTTAATTTTTAGCAACAGTTTGAAAAATTCGTTTAAGAAAAATATCACTAATTGTAAATTTTAACAACAATTTATAAAAATTGTGACAAAAAAAGTCACTAATTATCAAATTTTAGTGACATATGTAAAAAATTATTACAAAAAAATTATTTTTAGTGACTATTTTATTAAAACTTAATTTTAATAAAAATTGATAGAAATTAAAGTGGAAGTACCAGTGGGTTTATATGTAATTAAACATTTTTTCAAGAGTGCAGTGAAGTAAAGCAAAAACCCTGGTAAGCGCCAAGAACTCCCCAACTCTTCCTCCCTCTGCCTCCGACAGCCCTATTCTACTCTCTCTCTCTCTCTCTCTCTCTCTCTCTGTACTCTCTCGTAACGGCTAACTAGGGTTTTGAAAATACACACATCAAACCAAAATGGGAAGTAGGCCTTTGGTGGGGACAGAGGTCCCCATCATCGGCAGTGACTCCGTCAAGTGGCTCGAAGTCTCTCTACCTTCCACTTCGCCGCCTTCTTCCGCCGCCACCGCCGCCGATTCCCATACTTTGCCTCCGCCGTCGCTGTTGTCCCCGCAGACGGTGGACGCCGCTTCCTGCTCCATCGTTGGAGACCCTCCCACCTATCTCATTTGGTACTCTCTCTCTCTCTCATGCTTATTTTAGTGGTTTTGTGAATGAAAAGCTATTCTGAAGTATCAATCACACCACGGAAATGCAATTCTGAGGACTGGTTATTCGATTTCCAAGTTCTTCTACTCATTTAATTTTATTTTATGGGTTAATTAATTATTATTACTCTATTTTGTAAATTAAGAAGATTGTTTGAATCTAGTGGCTCTAACTGATGGTTCAAGCTTTTGCTTTGTCATGACTTCCTAGTTCCAACTACGACTTGTGTGTTCTGCTTACGTGATTAAACCCATTCCCCCCTTTATGTTGGGTTTGGTTCATGGATTTGAAAAAGGACAGGGAAAATGTGTGTTCCAAATCTCTCCCCAAATCTATAAACCAAACACAGCCTTTAAGGTTTAGAAAAATGATGTACAAACCTACTTTTTAGACTGGGTGATGTGTGAGAGAGATGATTGGCAGATGAATAGAAAAGATATGAGATAGAGAGTTGCCTTAGATATTCTAATAGACTGCCTAATCATTAGGTTTAGAGTAGAACTTAAGTTAATTTGATTCGTCATGGGCATATTTTGACCATTGATAATTTGATTTGTCGTGGATATATTTTGGTGAATTGGTGCTGCTTGTGTGGTCGGGCAACGAAATCGATTGATCATTTCCTCATTCATTGCTTGGTCTCTTTTCGTCTTTGGATGCTTGTGGTTGCAATTTTTGGGATGGTTTGGGTTCAACTGGATTCTGTGTTCGCAGTTTTGCAAAGTTGGGTAGAGGGGAGGGTGGGGAAAAGGTGTCGAAAGGCTTGGATTCTTGCTTCGCACTGTTTACTGTGGTTGATTTGGCTGGAGCATAATAGGCGGGTGTTTCACGGGGTGGCTCATTCCATCCCTTGGTTAAAGAGGCGGTTTCTTACTGTCTTGTATAGTTGGGTGACAGGTTTAGTAGATCCAGATGTGTTGGCTTTTATAGATTTTGTGGAGAATTTGATTTGTTAGTTTCGTTCGGCTCTTTTGGCTGTTTTTGTATTCTTTGCATCTTCTTGATGCTTTATCTATAAAATTTGGTTATTTATCCAAAAAAAAAAAAAAAAAACACTATTTTTAAGTTAATGCTTGGAAATTGAGTTTGGTACGGGGTTAATGCATTAAATTCTAGCTGGTGCAATATTTAAATTTTTAGATAGTTTGCTGATTGGGGAATACTTATTCCTAGTTTTGGATGGTTTGATGAATGAGAAAATTCATTCTAATGGTTATTGAATGGGACGGTTACTGAGTTAGTTGGAAGGGCATTTTTGGAAAAGTAAAAGCATGATACCACACCAACTCATGTATACTCTTTATATAATAGAATAGATTTGTCATTACTTGACATGGTCGCTGGTTAAGTTTTATCAAGGACAAGAACTAAAGGGCTATGTATTCCTTGGACAGAGCTTAACTAGTTTTGAACCATTTTGCACATTGGCAGACCCAATGGGTGGGTAGGGCTATGGTTCAAGTATCTTATATGCTTTTGTTCTTCATCAGGTTTATTGAAGTGCTCTCTATTGTGACTCTGAGTGTGTTTACACAATGTTCAGTTTAGTCTGTGTTTATCTGGATCTCTATGCTCCACTGGGGCAAGGGAGACCTTGACAAAATTGTTGAGCCCATTCTTGGTAGCTTAAACTTTGGAGCAGTTAATTGTTAACGGAGTTTGTTAGCCTAAAAGTCTAGGAATCTTTGTGGTCAAGTAATCTTGGAAGCCAATTAAGGCGACCCACTAAACGCATTAAGTTTGACTTACAATAAATTAGTCAGTCAAACCAAAAGATTACCAAGGCAGCCTACTCTACAACCAAAAATCAAAATTATCAAAACACCCTAGGAACGAACTTTTAAATATATTATTTCCTAATATCACAACAATACTTTAATTGAAGCATGTAAAGACTCCAAAATTAGACAAGGAAAAAAATCAAGTTTTGTTGTTGGTCCTCACTTTTTTGTTTTTTAATTATGTTATCAGCAAAAAAACAGAGTTTATTGGTAAAGAAAGTGAAGGTAAAAGATGAGGATAAGGAGTCTTCTTACAAGTAAAGACAAACAAAAACCAATATCAAATATAACGAAGAATATAAAAGATTCACAAACAACTCTCCAATCATTGGATATCAAAAAAAGCGGGACTCCCTTGAATGTAGGAGAAACATAATCCCAAAACGTAGCCAAATGGCAAACCCTATTCCATAACGAATCCAAGTTTGCAACCTTTTGCATTCCTTTCCAACTAAATAACCCAAAAGCTAGTGAACACAACACAACCACAATGTTTTTGCTTTCTTGTTGCCTCCAAAGCCCCGAAAATCAACTAAGAGCATTTGAAAGCTACCACCCATCTTGCTTTCTTCTTGTTGGTCCTTCCTTGACATTAGGCCAAGGTTTTTTAGTTAGGTTCTCCAAAATACAGAAAGATGGGAAGCAGAATGTTGTGCCGCAGGATGGAGGTCCCAATTGCTGGTCCTATGTCAAGTTGGTTGAGGTCTTTGTCCTTTCCTCCTCACTATGCCCCATCTTCTGCTGTGAATAATTCTGCTTTGATGCCTTTTGTCCCTGTCACTTATACTAACGTTTCTTTTACCGGCCTGAGTGCTTATACTCCACTGACAGGAATCTGATTATCATCCACTCATGTGCTACAGGAGAATTCACAAGGATCAGCCCAATGCACTGGAGATACAGGAGCTCTATGGTTATAAAGAGTTTCCAGAGATCGGATTGCGAATCATCTTTCCAGATGCACTCTGCCCATTTGCTTTAATATGCAAGGATGAGGTTTGTGTTGTCTCATATTTTTCTGGGTGATTTTTTATAATATTTTTGTTTTGGCTGAGTCTTGTATTACTTGTTATTTTTTCCCTCTCTTGTTTGCAGACCAATTGTGCTTCAGGGAATCAATACCTTCTTTACACATTGACTGTCTCAGGAGTTGCTTACCTGATTAGGCTCAAAAGCATTTATAACTATGCATCATGCTCTGTTTTCCCACCAAACGAGATCACAGAGTTCAATATTCAAAATTATCCTCATTATGGAGCAATAACAGCCGTAGCAGGAACAGCTGGATGTCTGGTTATTGGGAGAAATGACGGGTCTGTCAGTTGTATTCAACTTGGCATACTTGAACCTAGTGCTCCTGGTGAGAAATACTATTGCATTTTTTAATATGTGAATGTTTGTGCAATGATTGCACATCTCTTGCACTGTTGTAATTTGATAGTTCGTCTGCTTTTTTAAATCATGCAATTGTATGAGTTTATGAGTTCACTTACTTTCTGTTTTGGATTATGGAAGGGCATGGTTATGAGTTTATCACAAAAGTTTTGCTTGTTTTTATCAGAATGAAGTTGCTTTTTATGCCGATATGTTTTCCTCAATATTGATGATCTTTTAAGTTTCTATGATAGTGGTTGAGCATCATTCCTGACATCTTTTCCCCATCGTATTTATAGGCTTTGTGCATGAACTGCGTGATGATGCAGGATTTGGTCGCTTGTGGAGTTTAATGTCAAGGTACTCAATTTTGCATCTGCATCTCAATTTATTTGAAAAATTCGATCTCTTTTTCCCCCTCCCTCCCCTTTTAATTCAATGGAGATTAATAAGTTTTTTTGAAATGGGTTGGAGAAAGAACTGCAAAGCTCTTTAGAGTTCCATACTCCATACTATATATCCCGTAATTTATTTATGTTGATGTTGAAGCCATCATGTTGTTATAGTTTTACTATCAAAGAGAAGATTTAGAAATGCTGCTTTTCTAGTGAATATGTCTCAGCAAATGAGTGCGTCTTAACAGGCCAATGCTTCCACTTGTTCCAAAATATAATGTTGTTACAGCTTTGGAGCCTGTTAATGATTGCGTTCTGACATGTTGAACAAATTGCTTGAAGTTTCTATTCTGCCTTATGATGAATGGATAATGGAGAGATAGGGTCTCTTTAGTTTGGCGAATCTGAATGAGTATTTATTTAGGTTAATGGTTGAGCAGTGAGCACTAGAGCAAATGCCAAAGATTGATTCACTTTCTGTCTGAAGTCTATGTTCATTATGATGGAAATTTTGAGGAAGATTTTCTCCCCAGGAAAAAATATGGACTGTATGCTTGATACACTTTTTATCCCAAAACTAATTGTGGATTGACCATAAAATCTCACATAATCTTAGATTAATGAAGTCTCAATAAAAGAGCTTCTCCAGCAATAAAAAAATTTCCGTTTTCTATTTTCTGTTGAAATGAATGGATCATATATACATTTAGGCATCTGTTGCACAGAAAACTGGTCTATAATTCCAAGGAACATGTTAGCATGCTTTTGGTGTATCATATTATTATTATTTTTTTTTGATAAATAAGTAAATTTATTAGAAAAGCATCAAGAGGATGCAAAGAATACAAATTTGAAACTCCCAATGAAACAATGCTAAGCTAACAAATCCTCTATGAAATCAACATAAGCTAAAACATCTGTATCAACCGATCCCATAACCCAATTATATAACACCAAAAAAACCTGCCTCTCCAGCCAAGAAATCGACTGAGAAACCCCTTGGAATACATGCCTGTTACCTTCTAACCAAATAAGCCACATTAAACAGTGATAGGCAATCAGCCACGCCTTCCGACAACTCCTCCCAACTCTCCCCCCAGCCCAACTTTGCAAGACAGCCAACATCGAATTGAGTTGCACCCAAACCAAGCCCAAAATCCCCATAATAAGCATCTAGAGCCGGTATGTAACTGGGCAATGAATGAGCAAATGGTCTACCGACTCAGCATCACTACCACACAAACAACACCAATTCATCAGTATATGCTCACGACGCATCAGATTGTCAATCGTCAGAATACGTCCTAAGGCCGCCGTCCACACAAAGAAAGCTACCTTGGATGGCGTGCCCGACACCCAGACACATTTCTAAAGAAACAAAACTGCATCAACATGAACGAGCGCACCATAGTAGGAAGACACAGAGAAAAGCCGCTGAGAACCGGGACAAACTCAAACCAGTGAATGAAAAGCTATTCTCCCAGGTTGCAACCTCATATAAAAATCCCAACAGCTCCACTAACTGATCCACCTCCCAATCCTGAACCTCACGACGCAGCTGCACATTCCATACCACCGCCTGTCCTTGCCCTGTTCGAGCCGCCTCTACCATAACCTTGCAATCCTCTGCAATCCCAAAAATCAAAGGAAACTGATGCTCGTATTTTTAAACTCCTGAACAATAATTTTTCTTCATCTTTTCTTCTTTTTATGCATTAAAGAAATCACTTGAAATAACATGGATCAATCTGTAGAGATATGGGTATATTGTCTTGATTCTTAACTATGGAGGCTGTAAAGGACCTCTTAAATCTTTCTAGAGGCTGAATAGAATTAAATATTGGATTCCTGGCTCCTCCATCTATTATTCCATTCTTCAATTGTACAATTTGTTTACTTACAATACCATTCGATTATACAATGATGTAATGTTCGGTCATAGAAAGGTGCCTTTAATTTTATGTTAAAATTTACCATCACCTACCACCACCTACTCCTCACCTACTCCTCACCTACTACACTCACCCTCTCCTATATAATGAGCCACTCACCATTTGTAATATATACGACAACAAATATCAATCAATAATACAATTCTCTATTTCTCTTTATACATTAAATTTCTACATGGTATCAGAGCAGGTTTAGAACTTAATCTTCTTCGCTTCACCGGCGGGCGGCAACCTCACCTTAGTCGTCCGCCGGACCTCAATCTATTCCGCCGGATCTCTACACATACCTTCTTTATACCTTCGTTGGCATCATCCCTTCCGACCCTCTGCATCTTTGGTGAGGAGCACTCATGCTCCAACCATGACCCATCATTCCGGCCTTTCTCCGGCAGCTTCTTTTGGACTTTCCGCGAGCTCCTATTCACAACTCCCGGTGCTCTTCAATACCTCTGTGGAGTGATTCTCTTCGAGGAAACCCTTTATCAGAAAACAGCTGCAGGTACGCCCTTCGTTGAGGTGCTCAAGGAAGGTGGCGTTGTGCCTGGAATCAAGGTGGACAAGGGTGTTGTCGAGCTTGCTGGAACCAATGGTGAGACCACCACCCAAGGTCTTGATGGCCTTGGCCAGCGCTGCGCGAAGTACTATGAAGCCGGTGCTAGGTTTGCTAAATGGCGTGCTGTACTCAAGATTGGTCCCACCGAACCATCTCCACTTGCTATCATGGAAAATGCTAATGGTCTGGCTCGAAATGCGACTTTCCTCATAGTCCCTGCTTGACACACCACCCAACTTTCTTTTTATTTTATTTTATTTCCTTTACCACACACTTTACACCCACCCTCTTTACACCACCCACGTGATCCCACTAACCAATGCCCTTTCATCTCTCTCATCTTTCCACTTTCAAACTCACAATCTTTTTTTATTCAACCCCCTACCCCAATTTTATATAAACTTTTCTATTCTAAACTTTTCTCCCAACAAGCTTGTGGGCCAACGTGGACATGCCTGATAGATTTACAAATAAAATTGATCCCACACGTGGCCCGCAGCAACACCAAGTACCAAAATGGCGGCAGAGCACAAATAAAACAAAAATATATATATATAAATAAATAAATAAATACATAAAAAAAATAATAATAAAAAATAAAAAAAAAACCAACACCCATTGCAGGTTTTACCAAAACCGTGGGCCAAGAAACCCACGTGCACCACTCTCTTTTTTCCCTCAATCTCTCGTCCCTTTTTTTTCCCCTAGACCCACTTTCATATTTCCCTTACTTTAAAACCACACTTTATTTTTTATTATAAAAGCCATTAGATAATTCCTTTGTACATCTGCAACTTCTGGATACACACCAAAAAAAAAAAAAAAAAAAAAAAAAAAAAACCAACACAATTTACCAATTTGCACAACAACCCATATTTTATTTATCTCAGGGATCAACCCCGATCACAATTTTATACACACAAAAAAAAAAAAAAAAAAAAAAAAAAAAAAAAAAAAAAAAAAAAAAAAAAAAAAAAAAAAAAAAAAAAAAAAAAAAA